AAGACAGCTGGAAAAAAATTACCGCTGTAAAGAGGAAAGTAGGTACAAACTTTAAGACTATAACATTTTTTTAATGTATTGCAATCGAAAAGTTAAAAAAATGTAGAAGTTCGTTAAAAGTTAAAAAATATAAAAAATTTAAATAGAACATCCTACTATTTTTTCAACTCAACTTTTGATGTCTAGAATTGATAAGTTAAAAGATATTTAATTTTAAATATTAATTGTAGCAACAATGCCTATCATTAAAATGAGCATTGTTACCACAGATCACTTATTTGGGATTCGTCCAAAAATTTTACCTAAAAGACGACATAAATATTGAAATTGGAATTGTTTTATTGTAAAAATAAAGAAGAAGAATGGATTCAATGTAACATAAAGTGATTATTGAGTGGATATTTCTTCCATCTCTAGTGCAAATGTGTACTTTTTGGCTATTGAAATAATGATTTTTTTAATGTTTATAGTTTATAGTTATAAATTATAGACACTTAAAAGTAAATGTTTTTGGAAAGATCATTTAATAATCTCTTACATAGATGCAAAAATAAAAAATAGGGGGTTCCCTTTAATTTTTTTAAGTTACTTAACTTTTAACAAACTTCGACATTTTTTTAACTTTTTGACTGCAAAATGTTATAGTCTTAAAGTTCGTATTTTCCTCGTAAAAGTAGGTATTTTTTTCCCAGCTGTCTTAACTTTCTGCGTAATATATTAAAAAACAAGATGTTTTCGCCAAGAAAACAAACTTAATTCAAAAACTAAGCAAAATCGACTACGAGTAATAGAAGTTTAGCTTACAAACATTGACATTAAAAGCTACATTCAAAAATGCCAAGAAACATATGGTGTTTCGTTGAACAAAACGTAAGTTTGTATTGTAACTTATTTTTGGTCCAGCCTGTATAATCAAAAATATTTTCTTGAAATGCGCTCTAGAATATAAATAAAGTCTACAAAATATCAAAATTCCCACTTAAATAATAAATGAGCTACAGAAGACGGAGGCTGAGATGAAGAACCCTGTATTTTGAACTTATTTATGTTGGAAAAAGTGTTTACATGCATACAAAATCGCTAAGAGTATGGATCTAGCCGAATATTAAAAAAAAACACGATTAATCAAATTGTTTTAAAAATTTAAGAATTAATAAATGTCACGGTTAGTTATCCAAAAAAATTAAAACGACAACACTAAAATTAATCAGAAAGTGCTTTTATGTAGCTATTTCTTAGATATATTAGGGACTACAATATAAACAATTAGAAATTCTGTTTTTGTAGCTTTCAAAAAATAATAAATAGAATTAAAGATTTAAAGTTAAAATCTCACCCATTATAGTTATTATAATACATTTTGTTGCTTTCTCCATGTGCTTTTCAGTAAAAAAAATTAAAAAAGGTTATAACCAATTTCTGACGAATCTATATAACTTAATATCAATAACCTTCAAAGGTCTTTAATACAATTACAATTCGTGAGATAAAAACTAAATAAGAACATATCCATTAAAGTGAAAGTCAAGTCTTTAATTTAATTGTACTGAAACTTGATGAATTTACTGTTTAGTAATAATGTATTTCTAAGAAACGTGCAAATTAGACAGTTGGTAGTTAAGTATTGATTGGTTAAGCTGGCAATGATTCAAGAATTATTGGCAAATTTTGTCAGACAGTGTGACTATTTCCACGTGTGAGTCCAGATTGAGCAGGTGTCGGTCGCACCTATACTTTCTCTAAAACCCATCGCTCAAAACACGCAATATTTTGTTAATTATTTCGAGGAAAAAATGTCGTTGAATCACGGAGTAAAGGAAGTCCCACGACATTGACCATCGACTAAAGAATCTCATAACTTCCTTCCGTTCTGCTTATAACGAAACTCATTTATTATTCACAATAGAGATATCAGCGAAAGAAAGCATTCTAAATTTCATCGCCTCTTCATTTTTTTTTAATTAAAATCCGAGTCTAAACAATCAGAACAGAACCATATCACACGAAAGCGTTGAAAAGACAGTTTTACTACATGGAAATCGTGCAGCATCTCAAGGTAACTAACTTTCCCTGATATTGCTTGACCGTTTGAGATTAATATAAATTTTGACATCGATAATGAGGTTTGGCGATCTACCACAGCAGCCGCATGATCCGTGATGAGCTCTCCACGTCGGTCAGCGGCTGAAGAAAGCAACAGCTGACCCACTTCAGCAGGAGCAAGGCCACTCTCACTTCTCCCTAGAGGCATTGGCCCAAGAAGACAGCATTCTGGTGTGTTTTCATTGTAATTTTCGAATCGACATTTCCAACTAAAATTTAGCCAAAAAATTCTCACTAAATTTTTAAGTCAATTTGCAGATTCCTTAAATTAAATAAAACAACAACTCTAAAAAACCAAATCCAAAAAATTACATACTTCGTCCCAGATTCTTGGCATAAGCAAGCTGCCCCACCTTAAGCAAAATTTTGTAATTCTTACAGGTGAAACAGAAATGTCAACTATCAATGTTATCATTGCTACTGACCATTGGAAAAATCAAAATATTTCAAAATTCTTTTTTAATGATTGATTACCAGTGATTTAATCAAGCGTAAAATTTTTTCAGTTCGTTAAAATGACGTAATTTGGAAAGCTTGACGCTTCTTCTATATAAGATTTTACAAGGACGACACTGCCAGCCATTCCTGCGCACCATAACTGTTAGGAAATTTAAAGAAAAATGGAAAACTAATTATATAAAATAATTGACGTAGATGTTTATCTGTTATTATTATTTTGATTTGCTGTACTTGACCTTTTATCTAAAATTAAAAAAAACGGTTACATTTTAGATTTTTTAAAATAATGGGACTTGAAACTCATTAAATTACACAAATAAAAAAACTTCAACACGTATGATAATGCTATAATGTTCATGTAGATGACATAATTGTCTGAGCAAGAAGAATGTCAGATATGAATCTGACAGTAATCTAATCAAGATTTTCGGATTAAATACTGAAATGCAAGAATAATTTTCTTCTTTAATAAATAAATCATCTTCGAAATTTATTGTAATAGCGTTCCACTTTTTCCTAATTAAATTAAATAATTAGAGTTACCCAATTAAATGCGTTGCAACATCTTTCTGGGTAAATTTTAGAAATAAAACAACTGTCAATGTTAAAGAACGACATATTAAGTTTCTACTCAAGTTTCATGTAACTTTGTGGTTAAATATATAATCATATGAATGAAAACAAAACTTATAGAACTTAATTAATTAATTAATACCCTAGATAAAAAATCAAATTTGACTCCAGACTGCTATTAATGAAACAAAAAATTATTTAAAGCCCAAGTGTCTTTTTATTTGTGTTCACTACAATTTGTCAAATAGATAAGTTTCTAATTACATTATCACTGTTACACAGAATTTTCAATTATTATTATAATTATTATCACAAATCAGTTGTATCTTTGATATTGAAATAGGTAATAAGCTATAATAAGATAATATGATATCAAATGCAGTAACAGTAATTCTACAAACGATGCTTATGTTTAATGTTGAATGTCCTCGCTTGTCAGATTAAATGAATGCAATAAAATCGTAATTTTCCAGATTCATACCTGTATCAAGATCTTGCGTGAAACATGCTCATAAATGTTTGTATAAAAACTAATTTTTGTATCAAAGACAACACAACAATAAGAGAGTCTCTTTTCTAATTACTAATTAGCTAATTAAGCTAATGTATTAATACCCAAAACACATTAAACCCACCATAAGAATAAGTTTGCTATTATTCAATTTCAAATCATAAAACTTACTGTTTTAATTATCCAAACTTAAAAACAAAATGTTATAAAATTCCAAAAATTATTTATTTAATTCATAAATAAAAATGCATTAAAAATTGTATTTTTGTTTTGATTTTAGAATGTGATAAATATTCGTAAAGTAAAAAGTGTATCAAGTTTATCAATTTTATAATAACAATGATAATTCATTTTAGAACTTAAAAATATATAAGCATTAATTAATTTACTATTCCAAGTTTAATAAAAAATTGATACAAATTATTCGTTTTCATTTTTATATTAAGATTCACATGTTTTTCTCCTTCAACAAGTAATAAGCAAAGTAAAAAAAAAAGAAAGCAACAAATATGGACGACATAATACAACTATTTGCAAAAATATAACTGTACTCTTAAATGTCTTTCCAAGATCAAATTTTATTTTTTGAGAAATATTTAAAAAACACAATAAGTAGGTAAGTAAAAAAATATTTGAATGACAAATGTAGAGGTGAAAATATGATGCTTTCAACAGCTTATTCCCTCTTTTTTCATTCAGTGTTTTAAAAGAAAAAGTATTTTATTGTTTGGAATTTATTCCAAGTACATAAAAATTTGAGAAACAATAAAAAAGAAATCTTTCACTTCTTTTCTGGTAATTCCCCATGAAAAAAAATGAAAATTCAGCTGAATCATTGTGATTACAATATGGATCAAATTCCCAAACTAATAAAATGTAAAACAGGCGATTTATATTTAAAATCACCCTGTGGTGTAAGTGGTAAACAAATGCATACAAGTGAGTTAAAAGAAAGTTATTACAAAGATAGGAATTGAGAAAGTTGTACGAATTATACTCGCATAGAATTTTTCACGAACACTCAAGCAGTAGATCCGCTTGCTAGCCTACTTTTTATCTCAATTACCATTTTCGAGCCGATTTTCCCAAAAATAGGCCCATTTTTGAAAAGTGTCCCGAGTGCGCTTGCGCACAAGCCTTAGCAAAGCGCGAACTTAAATCAAATCCGAAAGGGTCTCGAATCTAGGACGTCATATCACTTAATCACCATAAACACAATCAAACTGCTCCTAGACGTGAACTTTCGAATCATCTGATGGGATAAAAGTAAAAGTCGGGTTTCTTCACTTTTGCCTCAGGAAAGAGCGAAATTTTCGGATTTTTTTGGGGTGGTTTTGTAAAAATAAAAACTAACCTTTTGCTCGTGGGCGACTTTCCTGGGGGTGGTTTGCAATCCGAATTTTGTCCGCACACATGAGGACGCTTCCCTCCTGAATTGAGTCGATTGTCCCCACTGACACAGTTTTTCCTGCACCCGAGCACAGAGTCTCCCAGACCCTATAGAAGCCATCGTCAAGACTGTTGTGAGACGGTGGTCCCCTATCGCAAAGAGACTCGGCATCGCACCTTTCCACTGTCGGCCAGTTTGTCCCACTACAGCTGATCGGAAAACGCTGCCGCTGTTCCTAGACCATGGCGGGTTCACTTTTAATCCGCATAAATGTCGCAATCCAACGCCTCGAATTGGCCATCGCCTCCGTCTTGGGCAGAAGATTTCCTCCAGGTAATTCGCTCGTTATATAACACCTCCGTCGTGGACAACTGCACGCAGTGGAGAGATTATAACCTCACTTTTTGACAGATGGATACTGTTTGGCCGGTATCGAAGTCCAAAATGAGGTTTCACACCCGAAATCCGCCTTCTCCTTAAGGGATATTATCGGGGATGGATTCCTCTGGGGGGTACCCACAGCAAGACGTACCATCGAAAAAAGACACAAGAGGAAATATGGCCATCCAGATTACATTATGAAGATCCTCCAGCCAAAGAAAAATATCAAAACGTGCAATGATTGCGGGGATGATCACTTAATCGGGGTTTTGTGTCGTGAGTATCTCGAGAACACCAAAGTTAAAAAGCCCAACTGTCGGTTTTAAAATTGCCACAAAGCTACAGAAAAGTGACATACAATTTATGAGTTGTTAGAAACGTAAAAAGCAGAATTTCTATTTAAAAACTGATAAATCGGTTTATTGTAATTAACTAACGATGACTAACGGGGTTGGATTCTCAAAAATTTGGTAAGGAAGGCCGATGTAGGCAAACCGAATTTGTTCTAATTGTATTACTGGTTGCCGAAATACAAATATGTGAATGTTTTTTGTTCATCTAAAAATGAAAAATAACATAAACATAAAATCCACTCTTTTACGAAGTGTCCTATGACTTTGAAATTAAGTTGGCAACATTCATTATCAAATTCAAAAGTCATACTTTTTGAGTTAATTGTCATTCAATTCCGAGGGGCAACCGCCGTTTGAAAAGTCATAGTTGGCCGATGATTTTGAAATTTGGAATACGGTCCTAGATGTTGATTCTAAACAATTTTTTCAAAACGGCTGAATCCCCAAAAATGAAGTTTTAACTCGAAATTTGTTTATCTTGTACAAGAATCGTTTCACTTATCCGGGGACACACCGTAGTATTTTTAATGTTAAAAAAAACGAAAAACAGAAAAGTGTTTTTCAATTATATTAAATAAGTGATATTTTGAAAGATAACATGTTTAAAGTTCGTTCGAGTTATTTCGTTACTCGTGCCATAATTATCGTCAACGTCGACTGAATTTTTTGAAGTGAAACAGGACAGAAACATTTCATTTGTGAGTAAAAGAAGAATCTGTGTTACAGCTAAACCCCACTGACAAATTTTGAGTCAGAAGGATCTACTATTTTATAGAGAAAAAACAAACAGTGAAAAGTGGCATACGGCAATATGGCATATGGGATTTTTCTATTGCCACACTGGCAATGTCGCACCTGCGTTTTTTTAAGTGAAATAGTTCATAAATATTTGATTTCTGTGAAAAAGAAAATTTTGTGTTACCACTAAACCCCACTGACAAATTTGGAGTTAAGAAGCTCCACACTCTCATACGAAAAAAGCCTTGTGAATTGTGACACATCGGAAATAAAAATGTTCCGAGATATATAGGCTGCGCCAGAACTCGCGCCCCAGAAAAAATTTTCAAGTAAGGTAAGATATAAAAAATTCTAGCTGTCAAAAAATTTTGACATATATTTTTTCACATTTGACATTTTTTTATATCTATTTAATGATACTGATGATCTTGTAAATGTTTTTTTTACAATTATTTAGTAAAAGGACAAAAATTTTGCTAATAAAAGCCACAAATAACGTTGAACAGAATTATAATTTAGGATACAGCTTCCTTGTTTCCTCTTTTAATAGCCTATAGCAAAAAAACTTGGAAAACTATTTTTCCAACAGAAATAAATAGAGTCAAAGTGCAAATTTTATTTTTTTTATAACATTTTTTCCATGTTCCTGGTATCTTACTTTATATGGCATTTTTCTCTGGGGCGCGAGTTTTGGCGCACCTGTGTACCCATTTACGTCTTTTTTTTGGTGGCTTTCTACGTCTTAATGTTTGCTAGAATTACATGTATATTTCTAGTTTCTTTTAATTAAAGTAATATCTTTTTTAGCCACATGTTACAAAAAAGTTATTGATGAAACTAAAGAGATGCAAGACGCTATTCAAAAAGAGTTGCAATTGTCTCCTGTCGAAAACGAAGTGGTTGTTCTATACGAGGGCGAAAAAGCTGGAAAACCAGACGAATTCTTTGAAGGGAAACGTATTGTTGAAATACCGAAACCAAGGCCTTCATGGTTCAGCAAAAATCTTCTGCAACAAACAACACAACAGCCAGCGACAACCACTGACGTAAAGCCTTCAGATTTAGGTTAATTTAGTAAATGATTTGATTTAATAAATACAGCGAGTTAGAAAATAACTGTTCGTCTTTAATTTATTAACCTAACATCCAAACGATTAAGACGAAAAATATAATACTTTGATAATCATAAGTTATATGAATCCTATCACAATAATTCAAAAGTTTCCTCTGTAAAATGCTTTTCAACATGATCCTGAAACACTTGAAAACTCAATCCACCGTTGAAATTCTTGCAACATATGGGGCAAATCATATCCGTGGTTTCTGGAGGGTCTTGAAAACTGGATTCTGGAAGTGCGTGACTGGTGGTTTTAGTAGGAGATTCTCTGGTTTCACATAAATTAACTGTTGATATACTTTTGTCCACCATTTCCTTTTTCTCCACTATTTTACTATCACAGATTCTCTTCCGTTTAGTCTCTACAAGAAAAAAACAATTTAAGCTTTGTAATAACATTAAGACACGTAATTACCTTGTATATTATTTAATTTACTTAAGGCTAATTGCAAGGCCACTCTCTGATTAGCTACAGTCTGCTTAGTTGTCTTCAATTCTTCCAAAATACTATTGAAATTGTCTATAATATTATTTTCATAGTCGTCATATTGAAATCCACAAGATTCCGATATAATATTCTCGCTCCACTGAACTCCCCGAATATCTGAATAGAGAGAATCAAGTTCGCTCTTGTCCTGTGCAAAACCATTGATTATTTTTAAAGAAATTTCTTCTAACTCTGCACAAATCTTCCCATTTTCTTCAATATTCTTTTGAAGCACTTTAGTATGTGGTTCGTCCTGGGTGAAGGTTTTCGACCTAATCAACGGTGTATGTGACTCTTTATTTTTCGAAGTATACTGCACTAACGAGTCGTTGATTTTACTCAACTGTGTCCCCAGATTGTGATTAACATGACTTAACCTACTTAACTTATTCCACAATTCTTGATTTTCGTTTGTCACCATTTTAACTTTATTCAATAATTGAAGCTTATTTTCGGTCAATTCAGTCACTTGTGCTTTTAATTTATCGAAATCGGACAACGAGACACTACTGTGTTCACTCTTACTCAACTGACCTTTTAAATTAAGGTTTTCTTCCTCGAGAGTTGTTACCATCTCTTGGAGGTTCTTGCAGCGGTCTTTGAGAGTTTGCAAAGCCACATGAACTGCATACTGGGCCCCAATAGGCTCTTCCATACTTTTCACGGTTGTTTAAATTTATGACATAACCACACTTCACTGCGCCTAAACTGTCTCGCGCAAAATAAAACCGTTTGATTTTTGTGGGAAGTCCCCGATATTGTGTGAATAATGAGTTCAAGAAATTTGGCAAAAAAATGTGATAAGAACTGTCACAACACAGTTTGTCAACACGGAAAGAGATGAGTGCATTGGTTACTGCTTTCACCTATCACATGATTGGCTGAATTTAGTGGCGGCAATTTCAAAATTTAATTTCGGTTGAAACGTAAACTGTAAGTATTTTCGTATTTTGTATTGCTTTTGTAAAACAATAGAGTTTCAAGTGATTTATCACCAGATAAGTAAAAAACTGAATTTTGCAGCTGAGTAGTCAGTCATCCCATATTAGTCATCCCCCGCTTTGTAATAAAATAAAATAACTGTTCTGTCAGTCGCTAATTGAATGGCTCAATTGGTAAAATGCAAAATTTAGGATTTCAGAGGCGTCTGAAATGACTGTAATATACAGGGTGTCTCAAGTTTCAGGGCCGGATCAAAAATAAATTTTTCGAATTGATTAAAAAAGAATTTTGATAGTGTAGACAATAGAAGATTAAATACACTTTAATTTGATGTTTTGATATTGTACAATTGCGAGCAATTTTGATAGGTAATGTCATTTTAAAACTTGATATTTTTGGCAAAAAAAAAGAATTTTCCCTGAATAATAATTTGTAATAGAGTCATCTTTGCTTCCGAGAACGTATGTCTGTTTTTGAACTAACTGCACGAGAAACGTCAAATAAAATGACAAGTCGAAAGGTAAAACGACGTATAATAGGTAGGTAATACGAGTAGGGCCGCTCTTTTTTGAAGATAAATTATAAATTTAGTTATTATAATCATCACCTTTATAATCATGAATTTTGCCTTTCGACTTGTCATTTTACGTGACAAATTATCTTGATCGCTCGATATATAAAAACACTACGTCAAAAACTAACTGACAAATATTTTATTGTGGCACCAGTCTCTTACTTTAAAAAAGTTAAAATACTTATCACGCTGGAGAGAAGATTTTCTAAAGTTGAGGTAGCTGATCAGTTAGGGCTCGTAAGAAGATCCGTCAATTTCAAGATAGCTATATTTCACATCCACACGTTTGTTTCACAAGAGAGCATGTTTGGCAATGACATTAACTACCAAAATTTAATGCTCGCAATTGTACAAACTTAGACTGGTGAATAGTTTTTTCCCCGGGTGTACAAACTTTTTAGCGTATGGCAGTCAGACCTTAAAAATTAAATTTGGAGAAAAAAAAAATTCAATTAACTGGAATATTTTCTACATGACATTTTTTTTTCTGTGATATATGTGAAAATAAAATACCTAATATAAAGTTGATAGATTAACATTTAAATATTGGAAATCTGAAACTTGGAATAATTTATGGGGCGTTTGCGATAATTAGCGATTAGGCCTCCGCTTTATTGTCCAGACTTGGCCATAAATTACCAGAATTCCCAATTTTCAATATTAAAATGTTAATTACTCAAAATCTATCAACTTTTACATTATTCAATTTTCACAGTTACCATTAGAAAAAAATCAAGAAATTTTATCATGTAGAAAAAATTCTAATTAATTAAAAAAAAGTTTTTCCAAATTTGGTTTTTAGGGTCTCACTGACATACGCTAAAAATTTTGAACGATATTAAAGCATCAAATTGGAGTCTACTTATATACCTAATCCTCTATCGTTTGCACTAGCAAAAAATTCTTTTTAATCAATTAAAATTATGTATTTTTGCGCCGGCCCTAAAACTTGGAACATCCTGTACATACAAAAAATATCCAAGTAGTAAGCAGTGTTGGCAGCACACCAGATTTATTAGACATCTAGGCCATCGTATAATTTCGAATTCCGGATGATCCGCAAACCAGGCGTCAATTATACGATCCCGATGGACCGGTCAGTTATCTTGAACAAAAGCAATTGGGTGTTCAAGAAATTCATCCAGTGGATAAAGAGCATAAACTGAAGGCAGCAGTACCTACTTCCTCAAGCACTCGAATGTATTCGTGAGCGTTAAAATTGGAAGGTGTCACCTGGACCAACCGCAAAATCCTGCACTAATTCGTCCACTTCTTCTGTTTTCTATAACGTGCAGAAGAAGATATCGGATGCCATTAGTTCTATATAAAATGGCTAGAACGTCCACACTAGTTGAGAAAGTTTTTTCATCTGTAAAAGTTGTGGGTTCCCAGTCTCTATTCTGATTTTCTTGGCAAAAGCGAATCCTTTGCTCGGCGATCTGCGGAGTTATTTATGATAATTTTTCTTGTAGGAATTCGATATTTTAGTCGTTCTTCTTTTAAGCGTTTCTTGATTGCAGGTAAACTAACATTAACTCCTGTCATTTCCCGAATTGTGACTGTAGTAGTAAATGGATTTTCGCGAATTACCTATATACAGATATCAATATCTTCTTGTCGGGATGTAGCTCGCCTCCTGCCTGGATGAACCGATTGAAGAGGATGTTCTCCTATTTGCTGTTCACGTGCGATCCACCGTTAAAATTGCCTTACCTAGGTTAATAAAAATAGTTACAATAATTTAATGCTTCTAATTTTTGTTTTAATTAAATTAAACGCGTAAGTAACAATTGCCTTTTTTAATTTAATAAAATCAATAAAAAATAATTGCAAATACTTACTGATAAACCAACTCGTTCGGCAATTTCCCAAAGTTTTGCAAATAACCGAATAAACCTTGAAATTAATAGAAAATAAGTATTGGGGTTTTCAAGTGCAGGCAATTATTCTTAGAAACAAAACAATTTTCATTTCATTTCTGAGCTGAACGTTCGGTTCAAATAATCTACAATTTTATGAAGGATCGCTGTGAAGCTTTATTATTTTTTACAGAAATACTGTTTAGGTGAGAGATTGTATAAACCAAAATGAAAAATTTTCATTTAATTGTTGTTCATTTAATTTGGTGCATATTTGACTGCATATCGGGGCAGTTTTTTAGAGTGCATATTTTCCAGTCACTAGTCATTATAATTATTTTTAATAAAATAATATCCCACGACAAAATTTACTTAAAAGAAATGTTGAGGCTAAATGCAAAATCATTTTTATTACTTTCCTCTCGCAGATGGTTTTCTAATTCTTTCGAAGGTTTATGTTTTTTAGATAAATCTTTGAGTTTTCTGTTCAAAAATTCGCTGAAATACTCGAAAAAGACAAAAATAACACTATTTTCGCTCTAATTCTGTCATTTTTTGGTTTGTTATCAATAAAATTTAGCAAAATAATTGCGTTTTTAATTGTAAAACATGCTTAAAAACTTGCAAAATGTAAAGTATATCATTTTCAGTCACATTTTGTAGTTCTTGACATTTTTTGAAATAATTTCTTTTTAAAAAATCTTTGAATTCACATTTTTTTTTAAATTTAAATAATAAATTATGGATGTGTGATATAGGCCACCAGCAAGACACAGGGATCTGGTGAAAATAACTAAACACCAAAGGTTGGTAATTCTGCAACAGACCCGTCGTGCGTTCTGGACCCGTAGTTGCATAATCAAAGCCCAAAAATTGTTGAAATTTGGATATTTAATAGTTTTAAAAGCACGAATCACGAAAATGCAAGCTCCACGAGTTCTTCGTAGTCTGGTTGCGAGAAATCGTAAGTTATGCATACTTTTTATAAAACTAAATCAACTTCCGTGTTGCTGACAGCGTCTTAAATTTCACGTTTTGCAGTTGGAAAACGGGGCGTTCATTACGACAGCCACCATGTCACCACAACAATTAATGACCTACCAAGCCCTCAAGGAAACTGGAAGACCCACTATGATGCAAAACAACGGAAATATAATGCGCAGTTAGCTGTTGGAATTGGAGCAGTTGTTGGAACGCTCATTTTCGGTAAGGCTGCTGGTTTGTTGGAATTTTACGATGATATCCCCGACCGTCCAGCGGATATCCCATCGTACAAGTAATTTCCTTTTAGTTGAATGTGTCTAGTGGCGAATCTCTATAGATAATAAATTGTTGTAATTATGACTTTTTCAATTTAGATGCCTCCCAGAATTCCGTTCCTGATCTCCAGAATAGTCCTTTCAAGTTTTGCTAAATAAATCATGAAGATGGGGTTCTATGGTGTGAACTTTTTCGTACGCTAGTATCCTGACGAATAACAGCTGTATTTTTGGTTGCCTACATTAAAAAATTGGTCATTAACTTAGAATTAAACTCAGAATACTTCAAAAACCCTTAATGAGATAAATATCTGTTAAAATTCTGGACGCTTTAACTTTGTTTTATTTTAAAGCTCAAAGATATAGGATTTTTTAATAAAACTTGCGGATAACTTAAACATGTATTTTGTCATAAAAATCTACAGGGTGATTCACGAGGAATAATGAACCTGACCAAATTTTCGATGCAACCAACATTACAGTGGTCGCAAAATAACTTGCGAAGAGTAATGGTGGTTGCATCGAGAATTTGGCTAGGCTCATTATTCCTCGTAAATCACCTTGTATAATGGATGTATAATGTTCATACCTTTAACTACGAAACTATGTACAAGAATTAAACAAAAATATGATGACATAATACTAAAAGGCTCCTTAACTATTACTGTATGTAATGTAGATTACATTTGGGAAGTGTTCCGTTTCTTTTTGAAAATCCTTTCAAACAGACGTGACTTTGGTGCATCATTAGGCTGCATGGTTGCTGGACGTTGTAGGTTAGGTTGCCAATCTTGTTTTGATGACACTCCGCTTCCATCTAAAAAAATGTTGTTTAAATCGTGCAATAAACAATTAAAATTCGATATAAAAAACACCGCAACCAGCAAAGTAAGGAAATAACACTAGGGAAAGTCTAAGAAGAGTTAAAAGTTAGTTGAAGTCAGTGCCAGTTAATTAACGTTGTGCTGCATGCTGACTAACCATAAATAGATCCACTGTTTTCTAAGGTATATTGACGATGACCGGCATAATTATTCGGCGGTTCGCTCATCGGTAAAGGTGGTGGACTTTCCCCTAAATTAGTAGGAACTGAACATTAATTCTTCAAGGTAAAGATTAATTACATTAATCCCATAAAGTTTTCGTTATTTTGGACATAAAAATTGATGAGATTCTGATATGATCGTTATTAATCTGGTCACAGGCATTAAACTAGCATTAAACTTACCCATAGTGTGACGAGAAGATGCTAGACTCGACAAACTTCCATTGGTGGATTGAGGATCGTGCCTCAAGACGACTTGATCGGCAACGTCCGGACTAGAGGTCCTGCTACTTTGTGAACTCATCTCGTAATCATTTTGATCCTGAAACCACCTTTAAATAAACACCTGACATCAAATATCTCAAATATTAAACCTTAGGAATTTCCAGATGCAGCAACTGCTGACTCGGAGGTAATCTAGCTCTAAAATTAATCTTTTGCATCCAATTATCCATTTCTGATTCTGAACTGCACGCAAATAAAAATTCCGAACCATCGGTAAGCACAAGTCTAAACGTATGTTTTTTCTTTTGATAATCATCAGCTACTGAACACATCGCATTATGAACATTAACAGGTGGACCACTAGCTTTACTAGCCGCGAAATCATCTCTGTTTTTGAAGAAACACAATAACTGTCCACACAAAACCGTGTATGAATTCTTCCAAGTCCTGTTAGTGGCCCGTTTTCCATTTGCTGTCGTTAACTGTTTGCGATCGAGGAATGATTCCGCATCGGCAGGTGGTGTGTCTGAAAATGATTTTTGTAGCAAAAATCTTTAAACCTCACTAGTGAACTTACCGGTTGGTTTAGATCTGAACGATGGCTTCCTCCGTGTTGTGAAAGTGGGAGTCCTCTTCGGTTTACTTCCCGTAACATTTGTACCGACTTTCATACTTGCCGAACGCTGAATCGCACTATCTGATCCTCTCCTTAACCCCACACGATCTCTTTCAAAGGTTTGAACAACAGAATTTGTTTTACGAACAGTGGCAACTGGACGACCTTCTTCCTCGTGTTTGGTGCCATTGACAAGTTCTTCGACTATTTCAGGCGGTTGTGGTCTTTCTTGTCGTCTTTTTTCATTAATTTTTTGAATCTCGAGTCGTTTCAAGTGCTCCAAACGTTCCTGTTCCTGGCGTTCTTTCTCCACTTTCTTTGCCAAAGCTTCTTGTTCACGTTGCAGGAGGAAAGCATCTTCGATCAAAGTTTTGCGATTGAGTGCTTCAAATTTGTCCTCTTGGGCTTTGACTGCTTCTTCAAAATCACCATGTTTTCGGATCAGGTCTTCTACGTGGTGGATGCTATCACCTGTGGTGCCCTCTTTTAGGGTACCCTCTCTTACAGCTAACCAATTATCCAGAATATCTGCCTCGCGTTTGAATAAGAGAACATCCAAATTTTGGTTGTAGAGCAAATTTCGTTTTTCCCAAGTATTATTCAAGAATTCCAATCTCTGGCGTAACACCTTGATTTTATCTTGGATTTCACTAGTGAATAAATGACCCTCTTCTATGAATTTATTACCGGAGTCGTAAAATTGTTTGAAAGCATTTGATTTTGCACTAATTTCAACTTTGTACTCCTTGTGACGTTCAATCAAAAGTTCGGCTTCGTTACAATCATTTGGAAGGTCTGGCGCCGTGATTTTAGCCACCATTTCAGTGATCCACGCCCTGTAAAAACACTAATATAAACTGCACAAACGTAAAATATCGACTTACAATAAATCTTGGAACTGGTCGAAATAAGCTTGAAGTTGTTCGGCTTGTTGCAAATGGTCCTTTCTTCTAGCCGCTTCAGTTTGAAGACTCCCCCACGCAGACAACATATCCTCACACTTATCATCAATATGGTCTTTGGTATCGGGGAACTCGTTTATAAGTTTTTCACCTTCCTGTTCAACATTCTCCACTTTTTCCCTAATTACTTTCATTTCATTTTCCAATGCTTGGTGCTTTCGGAGAAGATCTTGGATACTCTCCAAGTCTTGTCCGAAAGTGTCGTACGATAAATCGGCTTTCTTTTCTTGTATCCACGAAATAATTTCCTCAGTTGTGCGATCGAAAACATGGACTCGTTTAGCCCCAGCTAATGCGTCTTTACGCGCGTTAGCAAGCTCGAGCAAGTCATCCCATTGGTCTCGAACGTCGGTAACTTTTTGTTGGACTTCCGGACTATGACTACTTTTAGCTTCAATAAGGAGTTTTCCATTTTGGATGCAAGATTGGATTCGTGGTTCGCTGTTCATTAAACTTGCATGGAATGTGTCAAAAGCTTGAATTAGTAATTCGACATGCTCGACATCGTTTCCGTATTCTTCGGAATCGGTTTTAAGAATTTGGTCTTTCATCCATTCCTGGACGTCCAAACATTCACGCACAAATGCAAAATAGCGAAGGGCTTCATCCAGACGGACTTCACGTTCAGAGACCAGCTTTCGGAGTTCTTTAAATTGCTCGTCCAGTTGATTCTAAATAATTAAATTTAAATTTGATTAAAATAGTAATTGTGACAAACCTTTCTCATTTCGATGTTAACAGCATCGTAATGTTGCCTCTCGATCAATTCATTAGCAGTTTGTTCCAATTTCTTAATTGTTACTTCGAATGCTTTTATTTCTAATTCGGTAGCTTCCAATTTACGTTTCAAAGATTCAGCGGAATCTTCATCTTTTCCGACTTCTCTTGTTGCCAAACTCGGCCATTTATCCCTCATCCACGCTTCAGCTTCTGTTGCTTCTTCATAATACTGAAAACAAAAGAAATTAGAAAAAAAAAAACACAGAAATTAACCTCGTACCGTTTGAACTTCTAGAGCATCTTGTAATCTCAATCTTCTAATACTGGCTAAATCCCTAATATTTGCGAATTTCTGTTGCAATTCTTTCGCTTTTTCACTAATAAGTGGTGCTGAAATATGTCCTGATCTCGCAAGAGACGTTGCACGACCTACAAGTGACCCAATGATTGGTTCTCTTGATGACAGTTCAGCTTCCAGTGTTTGGTGTTTTTTGTGTAAGCTTTGAACGGCTGTCAAACTTGCACCTAAATCTCTCGACGTAGCAAGTGGTTCTCTATCGGCCAACCATTGTAATTCGTCTTCTACATCTCGGGTGAATTGTTGCAACATCATCGACCCCTCTAATAAATCTCTCTTCTGTTGAACAGGTTCTTTGAGTTGATGGAATCTAGTGATGGCGTCTTGCGCCCTCTGTTGAATCTCTTCACTCATAAAATGATTGTTTTTAACGAATTGATCGGCCGCGTCGTTGATGGTCTCACAATTATCAGTATGTTGTTGAATGTCATTTTCAAGAATTGTGTGTTTTTTCAGGAGATTATTAACAGTTGCTAAATCTTTCCCGACATCTGTGGAAATCAACTGAGCTTCGACTTCGAGCAACCAAGCTTCGAATTCATCAAGAGATCGGTTGAAAAGTAATGCTTGGTAAGCTTCATTCAATCTGTCACGTTTCAGATGCGACTGTTCAATCAATTCCTTCCACCGATTTTCTAATTCTTCAATTCGTTCTGCAATATCTTTACTAGCGTAGTGTTTAGTTTCAATCAAGTCTCGTCCCTCTTCAATTACGTTGGTAACACGTTCATGATTAGCAAAAACTTCAGCTTCGAAAGTAACGTGTTTCTGAATTTTGTTCTGTAAGTTATATGGTTCGCGATAATTTTCGTCGGTTGCAATTTGAAGCTTGTGGTTCAACCAAACCTCAACGTCGTATTCATTTTTAAGGAATTTCTGCAACGCTTTTGATTCGTATAAGATTTTTTTGCGCTCTGCTGCTTTATCCAAAAGTCGATTTTTACGAGCCATTATCTCATTTAATTTTGTTGCAACTTCGCTGTTTGCGTAAGATGGATCTGTTGGTGTTTTACCTCCTACTTTTTTCCGTGATAATTCATCGATACGTGACAAAGGTTGTGTCAGCATAGTTTCAAAATCTTCGTGTTTTCTAATAAGAGCTTCAACTGCTCGAGGTGTATCACCGACGTCGTCATTATTCAAGAAAGCTTCTTTATCAGATAACCAATTATTAAGTTGGTTGGCTTGTTCTTTGAAGTCTTGGAGGTCGTATTCGTAAGTTAATGCTTCTTTATGTTGCTCCCAAGCTTGCTGGATGTAACTCTGAAGTTCCTCCAATTTATTCACTCCTAAACACGAACAAATTAAATTATGCGGACCCGAGACTAATAAACACTTACCTTCAATTATATCCGAGTCTTCGCTTTCGGAAAAACTACGTCCAAAATTGATTAATTTTGCAAAAACTTCGTTACGTCCATTGATTTCGGCTTTAAGTTCATCATGTAAACCTAAAAGTGTCTCAGCCTCGTTGACACTACTTGGTGATTGGTGTGCTTCCATGCGTTTAATTGTGTCACTAACCCATTGTTCTAAATCTTTAACGTCTGATAAGAATTTTTGTCTCGCATGCGACCCCTTAAGATTATTTCTGCGACGTTCTCTCGCTGTTATCAACTTCTCCCATTCATCTTGCAGCTCTTCCATTTTACCCTGCAGATGTTGAGCTGCGTGTGGGTACTTATCGCTCAATAAAATAGCATCTTTTCCATGATCCTGAAGTTTATTTTCAACAGCAGTCATTTCACTTTCCAGTGCTTCCTGTTTGCGTGAAAGCAGTTCAACAGCAGGTAAACTCCGTCCAACGTCGTCAGTTTCCATCGCGAGACGTTTTTCAGTGATTCTTTCAGCAGTATCAGCAACGTCACGATCAAACAAATGAACCTCGGAAGCTGCTGCTAATTTATTGCGATATTTGGCCAAAGCTCCTTGCAAATCTTGCCATTTTTTGATGAAATTGTCGCGTCTTTGTTGGACTCCGGGATGCCCCTGTTTTGCCAATTTGTTAGCCAAGGAATTGATGGTTTTGATTCGGGTATCGTCGATGCGCATGTCGCTATCAACATCGTCGAGTTTTCTCTGCAAGGCTTGACAATGTTCGTAATCTTTGCCCACATCACCAGCTTGAATCATCACTTCTTTGTCTCTGATCCAAGATTCGATTTTGTCCAATTGATTGTTGAATTCTAAAATATCTTGCGCCTCTTCAAGGCCTTTACCACGTGAGTCTACTTCGCGCAAAAGCTGTCTCCAAGCATCATCCAAGTTTCTCAATTGCACTTCTATATCTTTCGAAGCTTTGTGTTTCTTCCTTAAAAGTGTCTCTCCCTTAGACTTGACCTCTCTGATTTTGCCTTCATTCGCGGCAATTTCAGCTTGGAATGCTTGGTGTTTTTGCAATTCCTTGATTTTGTCGTCCAAATTGGTCACTTCACCGGTCTTCACTTGTTTTTCTAATTTCTTTTGTTTTTCAGCTATCCATGTCTGAGCTTCTCCCACGTCTCTATTGAATTCCGCATACAAAAGAGCATCGCCGAGAAGTTGTTTTTTGCGAGCACTCAATTGATGGACTTGTTGTCTCCTAGCTTCGACTTCTTGGAGACGTTTAGCAATGTTTTTACTGTCGAAATGTTGTTGACTTATTAATTTTTGTCCTGTTTTAACAAGAGTGTCAAATTTTTCGTCTTGATGAACAATTAGTTTTTCAAATTCTTCATGTTTCTTGACTTGATTAGCAACTTCATCAACAGTTTCGCCAAAATCTAGATTACTTAAAGTAGCTTCTTGCGCATTTGTGGCATCTTCAATTAGTTTTGCTTCTCTTAGTAACATATGCAAATCACATAATTGATCCAAATGTACTTTCTTTATCTGCCAGTCAGCGTGAAGTTTTTCTCTTTCTTGGAGCAAATTTTTGTATCTTTCTCCCGCTTCAGTTGCTGCATAATGTCCTGTTTGTTCCATTGCAGTTAAATTCTCAGCCACATCTTCAAAATCGGCTTCTCTCGCCTCAATTTCATTCTTCAAACCTTCATGTTCATTACGTAAAAATTGTGCCCTTGCGATACTCCTAACATTTTCTTCAGCTTGCATATCTAATCGCAACGCTGTCGCCCAATTTGTTAAATTTCTCACTTGAGTTAGGAATTTTTGTAAATCAACACTAGCCTGGAGTTGGTCGTGTCTCAACTCTGCTCGTTCTTTCAAACCATCCCAAGCATCGACGACTAACTGTTGTTGATGTTGAATGTTAGTCTGATTACTGGGATAGATTTTTTGTAATTTAGACGCATCTTCGACCAGAACTTGTAATTGAGCTTCCAATGCCACCAATTCGTTTTCGAAAGCTTCATGCTTTCTAAGTAGGGTTAAAGCTGAGTTTAAGTCACGTCCTAAGTCGGTACCTAACGCAGCACTCTTTTCTTGGATCCTTTGCAAGGCGTCGGCGACGTCGCGATGAAAACGGTGGATTTCCCCGGCCGCGAGAAGGCGCTGCTCGCGGTTTTGCATCTGGTCGTGCAGTTTCTCCCACGATTTCCTAGGAAAAAAGCACAGAAAGTTAAGAAAAAATCTTCTTTCCAGGTTTCAGCTTGATAAAACCAACTTTATTCTACTCAACTAAAGTGGATTTTTCTGGAAATGAGTATTTGTTGTTTAAGATACAATAAACTAAATAATGGACTCGTGAAATTTCATAACATTGAAACCGAATTATGTATAACAAAACTTAATTTAGAAGTGAGTGTCCTCACTTGTTTTAAAGGAAAATATGCTGTATGTTTATCTCAAAAGTGTAATCACTTTAGCAAGAGAAATATTTACCTACTTAAATAAAATATCTATGTTGTACAAGCAAACAAGCAGTACAAAACATAAATAGTACTTTTCTAATGTTAGTAAAAAATACATTACCGCACTTCTTCATGCCTCTGTCTAACTTCCTCGACGGCATCTGATTGTGTTAGAGTTCTAAAACAGTTAGTCCAACACCAATAATGTTATACCACAACCAAGTGTTAGGGTTTAATTAAAGTGCAACAAACAACACAAAACTTACTCGAGTTGGAGTTGTTTCTTTTGTATGTCTGAAATATAAGAGCTTTCGTTGGCTATTAGTTTCTGAGCCAAGTCTTCGCATTGGCGGAATCGTTCAGCTCCTGCTTCGATTCGGTGTTTCAAATCGTCAAACTTGGCTTGAAGTATCTATAAAAAAAAATTAAAATAAATTTCGCCCAAAGAATTCAATATACATACGAGAAGGTGTTCATAATCTTGTCCATAATCTTCAGAGGATGCTTGTTGCAGGTTTTCAGCAATCCACCGATCCAATTCTTCCGACTCTAAAAAGTATTCGTGCCGAAACAGCGATTCCATAAGGTGGTGTTGTCTCAGTACTGCTTTTCTTTGCAAAGACCGAACTAAATGTTCCAAACTGGACTGTCTTTCCGCTATTAATTTCGAATCTGGGTGCTTATTTTGTATCAAATTTTGGGCACCACGTCCCATCTCGACTATAATGTTGTTATAAGTGTCCAACTCAAGTTCAAGTGCTTTATGTTTGGTTAATAATTTCGTAGCTGAATCTCTATCTCTGCCATAGTCGGTGCTCACCAAAATATCAGCTTTTTCGTTCAACCACGATTCAACTTCGTTCGCTTCAAAGAAGAACTGTTGAGCTTTCAGCGACAATTCTAGTTTTTGTGCACGTTCGTTAGCTTTTGTGTTTAATTCATCCCACGAGTCTTGAAGCACTCCACACAAGTCTTTAATTTTGGCACTTTCGGGATGTTTCATGTCTACTAGGGTTTGACCGGACTGCAAAGTCTTATCAATGGCAGGTTGATGACCGGCAATTTCAGCTTCGAGTTTTTTATGTTTTTTAAAGAGATTTTGGGCTTGGTGTAGATTTTGGCCTAGAGTGGCTGATGATGCAAGAGGGAGGTGTTCTTTGATCCATTGCAACTCAGCGTCGAGTTCGAAATGGAAATTGTAGAATTTTAAAGCCTCTTCTAAGACCTCACGTCGCTTTTTCGTCGGTTCTTCTAATTGTTTGAGACGTTTTTGACCGTCGAGGGCTTTTTGACGGATTGCATCGGCATCGAAGTGACCTTCATGCATCATATCGTTACTTCTATTGGCTAATTCATCGACTCTGGCAGCACACTGGGCAAGTTCATTCTCGAGAACATCCTGACGTTTCAATAAATCGCGACAAGACCTCAAATCGGTACCGACATTAGTGCTACACAAATTCTCATTAATTTCATCCAATTTGGTTTGAATGTCATCAATCGAACTGTTATAGTCATGCTGGACGACGGCTTGTCTCAACCTTCTTCCTTTTTCAAGGGAAAGTACGACGAGTTGTTGCCACTCATCATTTAGTTCTTTCAAAGTTTTTGCAACGTCATCCTTCCTATAACTATCTTGAGCAATTAAAGCTTGGCCCAACTTATTCACTGTGCGAAGTTGTCCTTCGTTTGCTCTCAATTCTCGCTCAAAAGCTTCGTGTTTTTGCAATTTTCGCTCCAGATTAGTTAGGTCTCGGTAACTCTCATCAGACGCAGTTTTGAGTTTTTCGTTCAACCAACTGCGCAAATCGTGCACTTCGGCACAAAACTCTTGGTAATTTTTAGACGCATCTAAAACGTTCGTTCTTTGTTGGCACAAATCTTTAACGGCTTGGCGTCTCTGAAGAACTTCATTGCGTTTATCGTCGATTCTAAATTCAATAAAAAATAAAACGTGAAATTGGGGTGTTTGAAACTTACCCTTTACTTTCATAATGATCATCGGCAATTAAAGCGTCGGCTTTTTTGCTGAAAAGATTCACGCGTTCGTCTTGAGCGAATAAAGTGTTAGCAAAAGCTTTGTGCTGCTTTTGCAATGCTTCTACTTCATCAAGAGAATTCTAGAAAAGTTCATTTGTAATAATCGAACAAGTTTTTAACACTTTACTTACTCCTAAATCAGAAAATTCTAAAAATGCTTGATGGGCCGAAGTAGCAGCGTCGATATTATCGGCCTCTCTGTTGAAAAGTTGTAATTGGTGGCATTGGTCCAACCAACGTTGTTTTTCCTTCCAACCACGACCTATTGCTGCTTGTTCCGCTGTCAATCTTTCGATCCGTTCAGCCACTTCTGGAAGATCGGGATTAGATTTCAAGAGTTTTTTACCCAAATCAGTCAACTCGTTAAATCTAAAAACAAATCGTAACATTTTGAATTTCTACATCAAAACATACTCGTCATTTTTCGTTTTGATTTCCTCCCCTAAATCCTTATGATTTTTCAGTAACGCTTCCGCAGTTTGCACGTCCCTAACCATGTTATCAGCATTCAATTGATCTTTAACATCAGCGACCCATCGCAGAAGGTCTTTGCACGAATTGGTAAATATTTGTTCACCAACGGCATTCTCAAGTCTGGCTCTACGCTCACTGGCTTTTTCTTTGACCTGCCGCCACAAACCCTCAATTTCGTCTTGTCTTCGTGCCACATTTTGTCTCTCATTGGGATACGCTGATTTGACCGAATTTGCCAAATGCATAACTTTGGACACTTTTTCCTCAACGGGCGCAAGTTCACGTTCTAGATTATCATGTCGTCGCTGTAAAGCTTGAACGGTTTTCAAATCGTGAGCCGAAACGTGAGTATCAAGCTGAGTCATTTTCTCCAACATCCAATCTCTCGCTTCGTCACAAGTTTTCTGGAAAAGTTCAACACTACTAGCCCCTTCGAGACTCTTCTCTTTTCGAGCTTTGAGCAAGTTGAGACGTTGCCAAGCGCCTTGAACTTGGCGGTGTCGTGACTTGATCTTGTCAATTTGGGAATGTTTCTGCTTCTCGAATTCTTTGACATCGTCATTTAATTCGTCCATACGTTTGTTGTTGGCAGACAAATCAGTCACAAATTTCTAGAAATTGAAAATAGAATCCAACGTTTATCTAAAAGATAACTTACCTCATATTTGCGTTTTGCTTGTTCGATACTGTCATTAGGATCATCAACGGAGAGCAGCTTTTCTTTATCTTTAATCCACTTTTCGAAATCGTCACATTCTTTGTAAAAGCGAAATAGCTTGACAGCGTCTTCTAAAAGAGCGTGTCTTTTAGCTGCAACATCCAGGAGGTGTTGATACGTATCGTTGATTTTTTTTTGTCTTTTAGGGACACTATCATTATCGTCAACTTTTCTTTTTGCGGGTTTCCTTTGTCTAAAAACCTTGACCGGGACTTTTTGATTGACCATTTTCGTCTTTTTAACTTTTTGCATGACTTTGACAGTTTCAGGTTTTCTGTATTGCATTTGCAATAACCTAGGTTCAATCTCCGTTACGTATTTAGCCGGAGCGAAACCGTCCGTACCGTCAGCTTTTCGTACACACCACCAATCAGGGTTGCTCTTATTTAATAAATACATTACTTCTCCTTTAACCATGTTTAAGCCGTGATCATTGAATGGATACAATGCCTTCACTTGAGGCACTTTTTTCTCTTCAACGACCATTTTGTACTCGACTTTTTCCACGGGTTCTTCAACCCAAACTTCAGTAGGAATCATTCTATTTTCGTATACGATTTCTTCGACTGGCTCTGCTACTTCTACTTCAGCTGTCAAATCAAGATTAGAAATACCCGATGCAATCAACCGATCAGCTTGCGTATTCAGACTCAAAATATCCCCTTTGTAAGCATTCAACTCCCCTTCCAAATCCTTATGTCTTTGGAGAAGTGCTTGGGCACTCGGTTCGTCACTTCCGTAATCACTTGAATTCAAAATCGAGGTTTTTTCATTTAACCACGAATCAGCTTCGTTCGCATCGGCGTAAAACTGGTAAGCTTCAGCAGCGTCTTGCAATTGTTTCGTTCTATCATTGACTAGTTTTTCTAAATCACTCCAAGCCTGCTTATTACGATCCATGTGTTGTTGAATTTCATTAGACCTAGGATGTTTTTCTGCGATTAGTTGTTTTCCAGTTGCTCCTAATTGGTCAAATTTGTTTCTACGTGCTTTAATTTCGTCCATGAGGACTTTGTGTTTTTGTTGTAAAGATAATAAGCCACGAAGGTCTTTAGCTGTAATACCAGCTTGACAAATACGCTGTTTTTCAATCAACCAGGACTCTTCGTCCTCTTGGTCTTGGAGGAATTGGTAGAAATTTCTTGCTTCTTCGAGGAGACCCTTCCTTTTATCACTAGCATCCTGTAAGTCTTTGTAAGTTTCAGAAAGCTCCCCGATTTTCTTCTTTAGTTTTTCTTCTTGTGGATTTTGAGCCAATGTATTCTCAGCTAGTCGAGTAAGTCTCCGTTCCGTTTCACCCAAAGAAGTCACTTGAAGTTCTTGGAGCGCATGTTTATGCAACAGTTCCTCAACGGCCATTAGATGTATTCCAGTGTCAGTGGTTGACAAATCGGCTTTCAATTGTTGCATACTATTCAAAGTTGTATCAATTTCCATTTCTAAAGATTTGATATTCACCATACGACTCAATTTCAATTTGTGTTTTTCCAACAAGTCCAACAACTTTTTCCATTGGTTTAAAATTTCAGCCTCTCTCTTAACAACTCGATCGGAATTTCTGTATTTTTCTCTCACCAATTCATTGCACATTTGAGTCAAATCATTGACACGTTCTTGTCTCGCTAGAATATCAGCACTGATAGCTTCATGTTTTTTAACAGTAGCATCAACTTGGTCTCGGTTAGAACCGTATCGAGGGTCGGATAAGACTTGGATCATTTCTTTAACGTAACCTTCTCGGAGGACACTTTTACGTTCAAATTTGTAATAGAGTTGTTCGAGACGCTCTTGTCGGAGCAATTCGTTACGGAGGGCTACTTCACGGTTATGTTCGGCCCTTTCAAGAGTCTCCCAAGCTCGTTCTATGTCTTGCACGAGTTTACCATCAGGTGGAACAAAAGCCGGTTGTCTCAATTCTTTTAATTGGGTGTTGATGTTAAAGAATAAGGCTTCAATCTCGCTCCGTTCGATGTATTTCGGAGGTTTTTCCTTCGTTCTGTAGCGAGCAAAAGCTAAAAGAAGCGTTTGGATACCTTCTAGTGAATTCGGAAAATTGCGATCTTCCAATTCTACAATTTTAATTTTTATCCAATCTAATAAATCTGTGGTTAGTTCGTCATAATTCACTTTCATTTTATCGGCGTCAACCATTTGTTTAATTATCTTGGCGATTCGTCGTCCTGACTTTTCTTCATTCTTCATTCGAGCAAAAGTATGATAATATGAGGCGACATAAGTCATGATACTTTTCTCATCTGGTCTCGAATTATCGATATCTTCGGCATCTAAAAGTCGGGGAATTCCTAATTCATTGTTAGCTACGTCAAATGCATGATTTAAATTATCAATGTTTCGGTTATGTACTAAATCGTCATAAATAAATAAATCTGGTCTGTGGGCATGTATTAAAGCATTGAATCCAAGACCAGTTCGCCACGATGTTGAAAAATCTCTAATATCAACACCTTTATACCCTTGTGTTTTACGTTGTGCCCATAGAAGAAGAGCGTCTTTGGCTGATTTCTTTTCAGAACTTTCATTTTCCTCGTCCTTTGAATAAAACTAATCAAAACAAAAATCTCCCAAAATTTATTTACTTACCACGTCAATTTCAATTTCCTGTATTTGAAACCTTAAAATGATGGTCCAAATTAAACCCAAGATAAGTCGAGGATTGCCATCGACGATATCTTCGGCCCCTATACTTTCTAACCGAACTTTTGTATGCAAAAACGCCAAACTTTTATTGACGTTTTCGATTTTGTGTACCCGCATTTTCCCATTGTTTGGTTTTGCCAGTTTTTCACCGGATATTATTTCTAAAAGTTTTAATAATTTCTTGCCGTCTGCTAAATCTTCAAACAAATCGTCGACCTCCATCCGAACCTAGTCAAAACATAAATCAGTAGAAAATCTGCCTACACATTTAAATTGCCACTTTTATAACTCATAATTATGGTTAATAACTGTCTAATAGTCGGACAATAAATGCACGATTGATTAGGGCTAATCAAGAAATTGACCCTGACACAATCCGGCTTTGATGCAATAATATTGTTTTATCAAATAAGGACAGATCTTATCTTGGTGCTCAGTGAAAAAGCAAATTATACAATTTGCATTTCTATTCAAAAATTTAAATACATTTGAATCACAAAGAAATTTGAGACACTGATAAATAAGCATTCCAGAAAACAAATTTAAAATATTATGTTGACAATGATTAGATTTTTTTATTTCTGTTGTTCTTTTACTCATCATTATAAACACACATAATGCATACCAATGCATAAATTCGAAGGACATGATAAAGAACATGTCGTAAACAAATCAGAAATGCAAGAATTTGAGTTATTACGACTTAAAACTTAAACTTTAGTAATATTAAATAAAGTAAAATTACCTTTTGAAGAAAGGAGTTCATCCATTTGGTGAACGTTTTCTTCTGTATGTACAGACGTTCCTCCTGCAGGACACGTATTCGGCCCTGTTCGAACTTCTGTACTTCATCCCTTTGAGTCATGTTGGTTCGATGTTGCACAAAGGTTTGTCCTCTAGGTTCATAATGCACGAAGCCAACTGTAACAAAAACAATTTTGTTTATATCGAAAATTCATTAAAGTATGAAGTTTGATCAAATGTAGGATATCAAGCGTAATACCTCTTTTTTTCATCTAATAATCTAGACAAGCGATCGATCATCCACAGATAAAATTTTACTATCACAGAAAAATATTCTGTTGTTGGAATTATTTCGTCACTACAAATAATTCCTCTGAGAAAAATGGATCACCAAGTTTCAGAAAACTGTATAGTTGTTAACGATAGTGAGGATGTTTTTTTTACTCTATAGTAGATATTTGTTGTAGATTACCATACTTTACAAATACTACGTGTTGGAATGTTGTAACAAAATATTTACTTTTTTTAGTTTATATCTAGTATTTTATCGGAGGATTATTAATATAAATTGAAGTTACGAAATTACAAAATTTGAATTTTTACTTGAAAAAACTTGAAATTTTGGTTTCAAAACGTGTAGTTCAGATTCTGATTTTTTGATAAGATTGATTTTCTATAATTATCACAACACCTCATTTTTTAATGTGATCATTGTAACTTATCAATATTAAGACAGTAAATCAGAAGCTGTAGATGGATATCGAAAAAAATGTAGATATAACATTGAAAAATAAAAGTAAAACATGAGAAATGTTTTCGAAGATTTGAATCTGATACGTACAATAAAAATATTTAATCACAATTTTGTATTTGATTTTTGTCGCGCCTGCATTTTTGCAGTGCCGGTCGTTTGTCCTGGAGAAAGCTCCCATTCACGGTCAACTACTACAATACGTAAGGCTAGGTCAATAAATAATAATATACGTTATATAACAAAGAATGAGATGAAAATCTGTAAAAAACATATGCATGGTCATGCTGTTTTACAACACAATACCTTACCAGGACCATTTTATTGAAGTTGAATAAAACAGTTTCAATTTGCATGAATCATACATAATTATTATAATAACGTGTCTATGACACATACACTTGTCTCCGTGTCCTCGTCTTTCAAATTGGTGTGTCGTGATGTCATCTTCATTACCTTTTTTGTAAATTTATTTGAAAGTAATCGAGATAAAAATTGATGCTTTATTACTGTTGTAGTTTTCGAGATTAGTTTCTGGGGCACCCTTTAGCCTAGATTGTGCCCATAGACAGCCAAGTAATGATAACTTAATCATGATACGCGTAGACTTGAACACGAGACTATCAATTTAAAGCAGGTATTTACATAGAAGTACAATTCGCCCACATAAGCAACTTAATCTATTTATTGTAACACAGTATGCTCCATAAATAAAAGAAAAAAAAAACTTTACCATAAGGTGTTTGTGACATATTCTAGTACTGGATCACCATATTGCAAGAGAACACAGTTGAACTAGTAAAACTGACTTATCAGAATTATCTCTACTAATTGTAGAGTATTCTCTTGATATGACACAGATAAATATAAATGAATTTGATCAGTTTAGTTAGAGCATTGATTAGGATTCCAGTTTTGTAATAAAATAAAATAACTGTTCTGTCAATCTCTAATTTAATGTCTCAATTAGTAAAATGCTAAATTTAGGATTTCAGACGCGTCTGAAATGATTGTAACATACAGGGTATCTCAAGTTTTAGGACCGGTGCAAAATTAAATATTTGTAATTGATTAAAAAAGAATTTTGATAGTCTCAACGATAAAGGATTAAATACACTTTAATGTGATGTTTCGATATTGTACGAAATTTTTAGCGTATAGCATTTTAATATTAAAATAAAAAATATTTGCGGTAATTAGTGATCAAGCCAGAATTTCTTGACAAAAAAAGGTCCGCAATGACATTTTTGACGTATTGTGAAGCCTCCGCTCTATTGTCAATGCATTAGTAGCACACCATCACAAACTTGGCCATAAATTACCAGAATTCCCAATTTTCAATATTAAAATGTTAATTACTCAAAATCTTTCAAACTTTTAGATTATTCAATTTTCACAGTTACCATGAGAAAAAATCAAGAAAAATTATCATGTAGAAAAGATTCCAATTAAGTAAAAAAAATTTTTCCAAATTTGGTATTTAGGGTCTCACTGACATTCGCTCTAAATTTTGAACAATGTTATAGCATCAAATTGAAGTCTATACAGGATGCGCCAGAACTCGCGCCTCAGAGAAAAATTTCAAGAAGATATGATACCAGGAACAAAGAAAAAATTCTATCTGGCAAAAAATTTTGACATTTATTCTTTGATATTTGACACTTTTATGTTTATTTAATGATACTGATGATCATGCATATGTTTTTTTATAATTATTTAGTAAAGGTACAAAAATTTTGCCAATAAAAGCCAAAAGTAACATTAAACAGAGATACAATTCAGGTTACAGCTTCCTTGTTTCCTCTTTTAATAGCTTGTAGCAAAAAAACTTGGAAATGTATTTTTCCAACAGAAATAAATAGAGTCAAAGTGCAAAATTTAAACTCTCATAACTTCGAAATTTTTATAGATAGAATTTTTTTAACATGTTTTCCATGTTCCTGGGATCTTACTAAGGTAGGCATTTTAAGGTAAGGCATTTTTCTCTGGGGCACGAGTTCTGGCGCACCTGTACATCTTTGTACACCCTGTATAAAGATGAACCAACGCCATTCGATACAGCAGCGAAAAAAACTATCGGGTTGTTCCAAAAATCAAAGAAAAATTAAAAAATCTGAAATCAAAAAAATACAAGAATCAAAAGAATTTTTGAAACATAAAAATTAGTACATTTTTTTAATAAAAGCTTATTTTTTGTATACGCTCTCAAAAATAACTAAAATTTTGTTTTATTTTTTCGTCAAAATGGCAACTTTTATGATAAAAATTGAATAAAATGTAGATAGTTGTAAATTGTAATCCTTAGATCATACGAAAAATGTTAATCTTGATAAAACGTCACATTTTTGCAGTACTTAATCATTCATCAAATAGTTTTTTCAAAAAATAACTAAAAAACATTCGGTACTTTTTGTTCAGCTGGTATAATCATAATCACATGTTAGTGAGCGGCAAAATTATGGAATAATCTTGTTTAAACTGAAAATATTTTGGTTTTGGCAAAAATGCTCGAACAGTTCAAAAACAGGTCTTTTTAAAAAATACACAATTTTCAACTTGATTTAAAATATTACACTCTTTGGTTTTTGAGTAATGACGTCATCGACATTTTTTTAAAAGAAAACCCCTAATTTCGATAATTTTTTAATTGTCAAAATAACAACACCAAAATATTAAATATTACAAGTTTTTGAAAAAAAAATACCAAAAAAATGTAATACTATCTACAAAAAATAAACATACAATTTTAAATCAAGTTGAATATTTTGTATTTTTTAAAAGAAAATTGACTTGTTCGAGCAATTTTGTCAAAACAAAATATTTTTACTTATAATAAATAAGATTATTCCATAATTTTGCCACCCACTGTATATAAAAAAATAATAATTAAACTACATAATCCAAATTGAGCAAAGTACCATTACACGTAAAATTTAAAATTTGATAAACTAAAACAATAACAAGCTTCACGAAAACGGTATTAATACTCAAATTACCTACTGAAAAGAAAAAATAAAACTGCATTTGAATAAAACGTCAAGAAAAAACTTAGAATGTTGCATCATTTGACAAAGTGCATCGAGTTATTCGGGGTCTTTTGAATATTGTAAATCAGATAAAAAATTACGGAAGAAAGGAAAATTCCCACAATGTTTAAAGAAAATCACTGGCAATATTACTTAATTGTTACATCTACATCTTCACTGCATGTGTTCGACAATCCCATACGACCTAATAAATGCCAAAAATACAAGGAAATTCATGAACGTACGAACAACAGAACCCGAAACGTGCTACTATGTCTGACAAGCGAATGTGGATACACCTGGCCATTCAAAGACCTCACCCACTACGAAGCACGAGGCATCGGTAGATCCTCGAGATAACACTAAATAGTTACATCACTGAAGATGACATCATTGTCCGTTTCTACCCGTTTTAGCCATTCAAAAAATCTAACTGAAAAATGGCATGAGTATCACGTATATCCTACACCCGCACAATTGGAACGGTTCTGTGTAAACACATAATAGAGAAATTTATATGCCACACTTCTAGCATATTTACCTTACACGAAGATAATCTTTACAGCGTTAATAAGGAAGCAATAGTTGCAACAGTATGATTAAGAGTCTACTGGAGAAAATTATTCTGCAAAAGGTAATTTTCGATTTTCTCTTACAAGTGTTGGAATAAAAATGTTTTCAATTAAGATAGTAAAATAAGAAACTGCACACATTTTACCTTTATGTCCAATTACAACCGGTAATAATTCAAACACCATGAGTGTATTACATAAGGTTGTAAAATATGGATCAGGTATACCAGATCACCTTGGTCTTTAAAACAATTACTGATGATACAAATCAAGTTTTTGCAATTTTACTGAAGCTCTGAGAAATTGCTTAACAATCACCTGTGGGATGTCAGCTCTAATTAATTTTAACGCGATTTATCTGTTTTGTGTAAGAGCTTGACTCGGAGCTTGATTTGATTTAGAAGTAACTCCGGGTTCATGTTGTACTACCGGAATACCATAGTCTCACACAAATCGAAGATGTGAATCGTGACCAATTATGCAGTTTAGAAAAACCAACGCCTTTCTCAAGAATGTAACCTTTATGCAGAGTTCGCAATCTCTCATGCTTATTAGGATGTAGGTGAAATTCCAAACGTTACCCGGATGATTGTACCTCAGAACAACACGAGCTTCTTGTTAGATAACAGGCATTAGTAAAAAGAGATCAGAACCTAAAGGTGCTGATTATTATTTAACACAAGCTAAAATGTTACATAAAAACAAGTTCCCCTTCAATCAGTTTCAAATAGCAAACGAAATAAACGTTATCATTTTATTTACCTTTGATTCTTTGACTTTGAAGGTTTTGTATACACATAGGTTTCAGATTACTTACTTGCATTACCA